CCATGACAAAACTGATCACTTTGGGCAAGAGACTTACCTGATTACTAAATTTGATTGATGATCTTTTAAAATCATGTGTTAATAATGCTCAGAAAATAAAACCCCATAATTGTACCTCTCCAATTACCTATCCAGAAATGTGGGCACATAAATCATAATTGTGTTTGGAATTTATTGATTTTCACTCATGGAAGCCAGATGATTTCAATTGTCTTTAGGAATAAAGACATTAATGTTTTGTTATCAATTTCTTGTATTTACTGCAAACTTATTTGTAACCTGTTTTGTTTTCCTTTGGTTTAAAATAATACACAAATTAGCAGTGAGAAAAGTGAGAAATACATTGTCCCCTTTACAAACAGAGAAGATAAAGCTTCGTAACAGAGTCAACTACCTGCCACAGGCATCTACTTCAGCTGATAGGAGGGAACCTCCCTTGTGGAATTCTATTAACCCCTTTACCAACCTGCCAATAATGTCATTCTTTAGAAACCTCATTTTATTAATTTATAGTCTGTAGAGAGTATTTGCTTTTCTGCCAATTAAATAGAACCACTCTGCCAGCTCAGCCAATGTAAAGTATTTACATACTGTATGTATGAAATTTCAATAAGTTGTCAGAAACAATGTCTTTGGTGTTCAAAGTAAAATCGGGTTTTCAATGTAAAAACATATATATTAAATGGAAAAATATAGTTTAAATGCTCTTTCACAGTAGTACATGCACAGCAATTTATACACACTGCAAACACAGGTGCAGTTTTTCACATAAATAGAGGAAGATGCTTAAATTTCTAATTAGTTTGCTTGCATCCTTACCTCACTAACAAATGCAAAACACGATTTACCATGAATCCCATTTCATTACTACTTAAGCTTCAGTATGTTTACCTAAATGTAGTTAATAGATATAATAAATACATTTTTTTCTCTTTTGATTTTGCAAGTTTGTTTGTTTTACCAATGTTGAATTTAATGTATATTTTAGTCTAATTTCTTTATTTTTATTATGAAAGGGGAAAAATGTGTGCTTAAAGTGTATTTGCATGTAACTGTAAGTGAACTGAGCAGAGGAGGGAAACATTCTCAACTTTGCTACTGTTGATTCCAGTAGGATGAAGCACTTAGTCACAGGCTTAGGTTCAACAAAAACTTAAGGTGTATGTTGGAGTGGGAGACGGATCCGAAGTAACGACGTGACCCCAATTTGACTATGGTCGTTCTCCTTTATTAGTCAGCAAAACAAGGTTTATATAGCAAAACAATTACAGCCTCTGATTGGTTAGTTACCCTTAACCATATATGGGCAAGATTGCTACAACTTGCTACAATTGGTGCAGAGCGTCATCTCGATGCAGAAGTGATGATAAGGCATGAAACAGCGACGTGGCCAGATCAGCTAAGGCAGGAAGCAGCAGCGTGGCAGTCCCCCTGCTCCAACGTTCCATGTTCGCCGCTCTACTTCTGTAGCAGTGTTCCATGTTCGCTACTTTCAAGGCCTATCTCCGATACAAAGCCTGGGTTGCTCAACGGCACCAAACTATGCCCCCCAACGGCACCAAACTATGTCGCCTCTCGTCCAGCCGGGACTCCACAATTCCTCTTTCTTGTTTTTGAGCAAGCCAGGTATAGTCGATCATCCTGGAAAGAGCCTTTTTAAGACAGCTAAAACAAATACATATTGTAATTCCGACAACAATTAACACGATACATATGCGCAAACCTTCTGCAATTAATCGTGTAAGACAAGCGGGCAAATTACCAAAAAGTGAGGTAAGCAATCCGTCTAAAAACCCCTGGTTTTGTTGTATCTGGTTAGCATGTTGTTTAAGCCACTGTAATTGCTTGTGGATGGACTCACTATGATCGGACAAGTTCATACAGCACATGCCTTCGAAATCCTCACAACCATGTCCTTGGGCCAATAGTAGGAAATCAATTGCTGCTCTATTTTGTAATACTGCATGTCATAGACTATTCTGATCCTCTAACAGAGACTCCAAAACCTTCGTGGTAACATTGGCTTGCTTTTCTGCCCAGCATGCCAATTTCCCTATCTGGTTTAATGCTGAGCCAGCGGTGGCACCAGGCACTAATAGTGACATAAACTCTCTCTGTGTGGTACTCGAAAGGGTGACTTGATCATCGCAGTCAGGAGGAAGACCTGTAATGCCTCGTTTAGGACGAGTCGCTACACTTTTCCACCACTGTTGATCTGGAGCCAGCAATGTCAATTGACCTAAGTAACATGGGCCGCCATAGACATTAAGAGGGATTCCTTGCCATGCTCTGTCGCCACAGATTAAAAACACATCAGGAGGCAGGGCCTTGGGCGTATCATTATTCCACAAGGGAAAACCACCTCTCGTTTCCATTCCACAGGCACCTAAACTTTGGGGGCTTCTTTTGTTCGTGTTGTTCGCAAAAGGTGACAGTTCCAGAATGGCCCCGATAATCGCAATGGAATGCAGTCGGAGTGACATTAGTCCACCCTGACCAGTGGAAGGATTGGAAATGACTGGTCCCAGTAAAGGCAGGTCCTGCAAACACAAAACACGTTTGAGTCCAGTTTTTTGTCGTGTTATCAATCCTCATTGACCCTAGCAAGTTAACTCTTGGGGATCCCAGGGTAATGTATGGTTTAGATCTTGTATGAGCTTTGCACTACAATTACTCACCTGAGTTTCCGTCGCACATCTACCCATACTGTAGTTAGCAAAATGATTAACATTATAACTAGGTACACCTACTAAGCAAGTGTGAAAAGGTTCTGTTGCAGAAGCAAGAAATAAGCAAAACCCTGATTGACCTGTCTTGTTCGCCCAAGTAACCCATGAGTTTTGTCTGGGCTCAATGCGGTGAAGGACTCCTTCTTCTGCAATTATTTGGCAACAATTTAGAAGCGCGACTAACAGGGTAACCGCTTGTTCTTTTGGCGTTTCTTTCCAAACAGACGTAAACGTCGCGCCTTCGTCTTTTCCCACTCTGCTTTAGGAATGGTCCAAATAGCAGGTACTAGATTACTTCAGCTACATTTAAAACCGCTTACCAATACAGTCTTAGCTCTCTGGTTTGTTAATCTTATCCAGTCCGGTTACAAAAATAATTATCACTTCCTTCTGCCTCGTGTCCTGTAACAACTAAAATGCGAGCTACGCTACGCTCTTCTACAAGGCAGTGATCACACCAAAGCTTTGCAAGCGATGTTCGACACCACCACTGTCCTTGGCAAGTGTAACAGGTACACAAAATCCGAGACTTACAGGTTTTACAAATGTCAAAATTGATATCAGTGACAAAATTTTCTCTGTAACTACTCATATATCTTTTCTTTGGTTCAGGTTGTTTCTACGTGATTGTTCTGTTCTCGAGAGTCCGCTTGTTGCTCCTCAGCTAACTGTCCTTGTTGACTCAAATCAGGCTTCACGGCTTGGCTAGGCACCCAGACTGGACCGCAATCTGTGGAAACACACATATATCCTCGACCGTTAAAGATTACTGGTACTGGTCCAGCCCACTCTCCAGTAGTCGGGTCCCTATAGATTACTTTAAACCGTGGCAGAGTCGTCGTGCTATTGAACCTTAGGATCTGGTGGTGTATAACCACCGGCGGTGCTTCCCGATCACCCATAAGGCACAAACAGTTCAATGTAAAAAGAGCTCGATGCAACCTTGGTTGCACTTCTGTTTCAATCCCTCACTGCTTGTCTAAATAGCCTTTCAGCACACGATGAGTATGCTCTATGAGTCCCTGCCCTGTTGGAGAATGTGCAATCCCTGTGGTGTGCTTAACTCCCCACGTCAATAAAAATGATCTTAGCTTTTGACTGACATATGCAGGTCCGTTATCAGTCTTAATTTCTTCAGGCACTCCCAGTATTGCAAAACACACAAGCAGGTGCTTACAAACATGTTGCGCCTTCTCCCCAGGTAAAGCAGTAGGCCATATAATTTTTGAAAAGATGTCTATTGTAACATGCACATACTTCAACTGCCCAAATTCTGGGATATGCGTAACATCCATTTGCCATAGCGCTAGTGCCTGCAGACCTTTTGGGTTTACTCCTTGTCCTATTCCTGGACCCTGGTTTCCACACCTGGGACAGGCCTGTACGATATAATGAGCTTCATTCTCTGTCAGCCCAAATTGTCTTCGCAGGCCCTTCGCATTCTGGTGGAAATATTCATGACTCTGTCCGGCCTGCTGAAACTTGTCTACTGGAGGCATAGGGCATGCGGGACTAACTAAATTGTCAGCAATCTGATTACCATGTCCTAGTCCCAGATCCCACTGATGACTACGTACGTGGATGACACAACAAGGCACGGCCCGTTGAGACAGTACAGTCAGCAACTGGATAAACTATTTGCCTAATCTAGGGTTAACCGTCTCCCTAAGCAAGGCATCTGCTACTCGAGGCACCACTCCAGCCACATAAAGGGAGTCGGTTACTACATTTAAAGGCTCACTTAGCCAATCAGTTAAGGCCCAGATCACGGCAGTCAGTTCTAAGGTTTGCAGCGAATCTTCATCCTGTCCTTGTATCATGTGATGACACCACTGGCCCCCTTCCTGCCAGACACAGACTGCTTTACGCAGCTTCTTGCCTGCATCTGTATACACTGTAACACCTTTGGCCAGCGGTTTCTCCTGACCTCTGGACTTCTCAAGCCACCGGCAGCCTTTTTTTTGTAATTGCAAGTACATTCCTTATGCTGGAAGTACCGTCACTGGTGTACTCACTGTTAACAAAACAGCTTAATAGCCCTTTTTAATCTACTGAAATTATGCTAGAACAATCATTTTAACTGAATCCTTAAAAATTTGTACAGGCTACACGTATTGCTAATGCTATCATCAAGGCAAATTTACCGATACGTTCATCTCAATGTAACACACACTGTTTCAGCAGCTGCACACTTAAGAAAACCCATTCTAATATGTAAAATGAATCACCGCCCTTAGCAGGCTTGTCAGTGGCAGAATCAGGGTTATTCGATTACACTACACAGGGGCGAGTCTCCCCTTTCTTGTTTTGCCACTGGCAAACAAGGGCATAAGGCAACTCTTCATGGTTGCAAATAAGCGAGAAGACAGGTAGGTTTAGGGGTCGTCTAGCAGTCCAGGCTGCTTGAAGTTTCTGTACGATGTGTTGCAAAGCTGTTTGCTGGGTCTCTGATAGGGTGATCTCAGTGCTAGGGTGTGAACCGCGTAGCAGCGACGTCAACGGTACAATCTCGGCATTGGAAATGCCAGCACAGTTGCACACCCACTGAATATCTCCGAGTAAAGTCTGTACATCAGTTAACGTGCAGAAGTTCGTTGCTAGTTCCACCTTTTGTGGTTGGATTTTGGCGTCAGAAATGCGCCATCCAAGATACTTCCACGGTGCAGATCGCTGAACCTTTTCTGGAGCGACAACAAGGCCTTTGCTGGCTAAAACAGTAGTCAGCTGCATCAAGGAATGGTCGTCGAATGCTTCCTGTTGACAGCAAAGGATGTCATCCATATAATGATAAATGATTGTGTTCAGCCATTGTTTCCTGAGTGGTGCTAATGCCCAAGCTACACAGAGTTGACATAGCGTGGGTGAGTTTTTCATGCCCTGTGGCAGAACCACCCACTCATATCGCTCTGAGGGCGCTGCTTTGTTGGTAACCAGTACTGAAAAGGCAAATCACTGAGTGTCTTGCAGGTGCAAAGGAATAGTGAAGAAGCAGTCTTTTAAATCAACAATGATTACTTGCCAACCCGCCAATGATCACATGCCAACCCGACGGAAGCATAGCAGGTGATGGCATTCCGGGTTGTACAGCTCCCGTGGGTTGCATTTGCTCGTTAATCTTACGTAGGTCGTGTAAGAGGCGCCATTTACCGCTCTTTTTTGGAATGACGAAAATGGGGGTGTTCCATGGGCTAACTGAAGGCCTGATGTGGCCTGCAGTGAGTTGTTCTGCTACTAATTGTCTTGTTATTTGCAGTCGCTCTTCTGTCATGGGCCACTGGTCAACCCACACGGGTTCGTTGGAAAGCCAGGTTAGCGGTGGGTTGGGCGACTGCTCGCCAGTGCCCATAAAAAAAGGAGTAGTAGTCAGCACGACTCCAATCTGACTCAAAACATCACGCCCAATTAGGGCTGCAAGAGTTCCAAGCAGTTGCATAACATAAACCTTCAAATTGGCCTCTTGCCCCTCAGGGAAAATTATTCGCACAGGGTATTTGCTCATCATGGGGGTAGAGTGTCCCCCTACACCTGCGATAGCTGTTGCGGGAGCACCTACTGGCCACTCCTCTGGCCAGACAACCGTGCTTATGATCGTGACGTCAGCTCCGGTGTCTAGCATTGCGTAGATTTGTACTGATGAGTTCTTCTGACTCAACACGACATGCATGGTAGGTTGGTGATCCATCTTCGTAGTGAAATATACTGTTGGGCTTGTGGAATCAAAATTCTGATTTCCACAGAGAGCTTTCGCTGGAGAATAGTCAAGTGGGTTATTTATCACTACAATTTGTGCTATTCGGTTGCCTTTTGGTACAAATAGAGGAGGACAAAGGGTATGGACCTTAATGTGAATCCGCCCCGCATAGTCTGCGTCGATAACTCTAGGAATGATAAATAATCCTTTGACGCCTGCAGACGAACGTCCCACTTAAAGTCCTTTTACTTTGCCGTTTAGATTAACCAATGGCCCAACCACGCTGCTAGGAATCTCATGTACGGTCGTGTCATTAAGGATGACGTCTGTTGTGGTCTCCAAGTCGATTCCCAAACTGCTTCTGGTTGCAGCTTGATGTTGTTGCAGAAAACTCTCGTTTTGGTTGGAGGATTAATTTCTTTCTGCACGCGGCCTCTCTCCGCAATCCTCCTCCCGTTTCCCGAACATGGTTTTGTGGCGTGGGTATTTTTTGGGCATTTTTCACACCAGACAGCGCCATAGCAGTTGCGCTGGATGTGTCCCGCTTCTCCACACTGATAGCAACTACCTCAGCATGGCTGTCTCACTTGTCAAGCGCTGTTTTGTTGCACCACAGCTGCAAGTGGCCAGACAACTTCTCTGACCGCGCCTTGCACGGCATCAGCAACTGTCTCTTGTTGCTTTTGTGTGCCAGCTCTCTCTACCCTGGACAACATCTCTTCAACTCCTGCTCCTTTTGGCAGACTGGCAAGTATTTGCTTTGTAACTTTGTTGGCATTGTCAAAAGCCAGTAGCCAAAGCATTTGTTGTTTGCTTCCATCGTTTAAATCTGTATGATTCATTACCGCGTCCCACAGCCGGTCAATGAAGTTATTGTAACTTTCAGTGGCTCCTTGCACTACGGTCCTGAAGGATGGGGCAGACAAACCAGGCAATGCAAGGGAAGCTTCCAGGGCAAGACGAGTCGACAACTGAAGTATACTGGCAGGGAAGGTTAATTGCACGTCCAGGTTAGCGTACGTTCCTTGTCCAGTAAGCATCTCTGCTGTTAATCCATAATAAGGGTCCTGCTGGTTCGGATGCCGCATCGCTTCATCGCTTCATCTATTGCCCATTGTGTCCACCCTGATCCCCAAGAACTGAGTAGGGGTTAGCAACAATCGCATTAAATTTCAACAGTCATGTGGACGCATCAAGTCAGCGGAATAAATCCAGGTGACGATTTGTCGAGTGGCCTCAGATTTCACTCCATATTGAGATATGGTATTACGGGCCTGCTGTAAAATTTTCCAGTCATGTGGTTCCCATTTGCCATGACCGTCAGTCTGTACCACAGGACAGGCTAACGTCGAGGTACTTCCTATGTTGGCAGCAGCACTCCACTGTCCATCCAGGATAGCGTCCCTTATAATACCACTCCGGCGGCTAGGTCTGATCAATGCCAGAGGCCCGACTAAACATTTTGGGAAGGAAGTCTCATCTTCTCGCTGGGGGGAGCTAGCAGCAGTTGACATATGCTGCAACCGTAAGTCCATCTTTTGGAGGCGCTGTAGGACTGATTGCAGAAGATCACGTGTTCCCTTTTCATGCAATTCATTTTGCTCGCCATTAGGGGGAGTCGAGGGTGAAGATGCCTTGCTGGCGGGTGGCAACGGAGGATAAAGAGGAGGGGCCGATGCTGTAGGTCGTACCTCTTCCCCTGCCCCCTCTGTGGGCGGTAGCCCCCCCTCCCCTCTCCCTGGGGGTTGCAGTACTTCCGGATGAGGCTCATTTCTCTGCTTAGTCTCCCTAACGGCAACTTCCGGCAGGACTTCTGCCCTATTAACAGCGCCTGAATTACCCTCCGCTCTCGCCCGAATCTCGGCAATCAATTTACAGGTAGTCCCAGTCGTCCCCTTTACGGCAGG